ACATGGTTTAATCTTAAAATTCATCAATACTTATGATACAGATGCTATTATTATCCTACTTTATAAATGAGAGTATCAAGACTTAGAAAAATAACTTGCCCAAGTCTCCTAGTTAGCAAGTGACAAGATCAAATTCCAGTGCAGGGGTGGTTGACTCTAAAGTGAGAGAAGTTTTGATGTAGGGAGAGCAATAATGTTGTATTTAAGGGGTGGTGAATGGAGACGAATGGGGGCCACAAAAAGATGGAACACGTAAGCAATGAAAAGGTGGAGATGGAAGAAAGTACACAACCTATCATTTGGCACAGAAGAAGTATTTTAATCTTTTTCTTTCTTTTTGATACAGGGTTTATGCAGTTCAAGCTGATTTTGAGCTCCTTTATAGTGCAGGCTGGACTTGAACTCACAAGATCCTCCTGCCTCAGCCTCCTGAGTGCTGGGATTACAGGCATGGACCTCCATACCCAGTAGTATTTTAACCTTTTATGTATTATATTATAGTTCATATTCCTGTGCAATGTGATTTTTTCATTTACCTTCTTTATTGTAATCCCAATATTGGATGTTATAATCCAGATATTGTAATCCCTTTTAATATTGTAATCTTATTGCTGTGACCTTCTGTTTCATGTTCCTCAAGGCTTGAGAAGTCTTATATGTGTAAATGAAACATGATTGAACCTCAGTGAGTTAATTTCAATCTGCCACCTACAGTGCAACCCATTGCGAGAATAAAGACACTAAGACATGTGCAAAGTTACAGGCAGCCAAGGGATTGTGAGTCCAGTCCAGATGAAAATACATGAACAAAGGCCTCGATCCCAAACCTCATCCAGAATTTATTATCTCTTGAGGAAGGGAATGGTTCAAGGATGAGTGACAGTCAGTAAGGCAGGAAATTCATCAGTACTGTGAGCTGGGCTAGCCGGGTAATGAGAAAAGCACCTCTGCAATATGTAGGGAGAGAGTTATGCAGAAAGACCAACCTGCATAACTTGATTGAGGTAGAATATAAATGAATTTAGGAGGCTGTTGCTTCAGTTTCTGATATGTAAACTTTTGTATCCTGGGATGTCATAGCCTCTTATTTTGTACCAGTTGACATTCCTGGAGCTATTTGGCTCTGCCATCCTGCTGTGCTCAACCATTTACAGAGAACATGATGTGAGGAAACAGGAAATTATCAGCTGGTGTTAAGGGTTACATGTCAGTTCCTCAGCTAGCCTTATTTGCACTGCATACAGCCAACTGAAGACAGGAGGAACTGGCATAGCCAGCTCTGTACACAGCAGTACATAGACGTAGGGCTCACTTAACTAACGTGGAAGTCACTGTCCTGCATTCAAGAAGAGGTACCCCGGTTGTCTTGTACACTTCTCTACATTCGTCAGGATATTTAACTTCTTTCAGGTCTTTTCAGCTTTGAAAGCATTTTAACTTCTGTGTCCTTCATCCCTTATACCCAATGAGTCACAACTTCTACCATTTATTTCTTTAACTCCCTCTTAAATTAAATTCTTCATTTCCATTGCCAGCATCTCTGGCCATCTGTTCTGATAAACCTCTTAACTGCCCCTCCTACCTCCAGCCATTATTTCCTTTCTGTATTTCATTAATAGGATAATAGGTTATATGCAACATATTAACATATTACCTCCTCATTAAACAGCAGTAAACATTTATGAAGACTTACTGTGTGTCAAAAACTAGGCTAAACCCTTTAAATGCAACATCTAAATTGATTTTTACAATAATACATTGAAATAGTTACTACTATTATTTCCATTTTACAAAAGATATCAACTAAAAGTTGAAGGACATTAAGTAACCCTTAAGATCACATGGCCAGTAAGTAGCCAAACCAGGATTCAAGCATAAATTTATCTGATTCCAAACTACCTATGCAAACTACCACCCTATTCTCTTTTTTTTTTTTTTTACCATCCTATTCTTTACAACCCTTCATTAGCTCTAAATCAAACACTGAGGGTAGCATTCAAGAGCATTCAAAATTCACTTCCAAATTCATTCTCTGACATAACCTTCACTATACTTTTTCAAAATGTTTTGTCTAGTTAAACTGATCTACTGATATTTCCCTAAAAAGTTCATGGATATTTCTACCTCTAATCTTTTATGAAGACTCTACTGCCTCAAGGTCTCATATTCCCTCTCCTTTCCTCTTATTTAAGGTCTACATTAAAACATTGCTTAAGTCTCATTTCCTCTTCAAAAACTTTCTCACCTGTTACTAATCCATCTGTCTCACTTTATCTGGTAGTTTTTCTTCATGAAAAGTAATCTTCTAGGGGTCAAAAATTTCAATAGTCTTTATTGAAAGGAAACAAAGTGCTCAATAACATGAACTTTGGAGTCAGTTATACTTGTGTCCCTATTTACTTGCTTATGATTTGTGGGAGAATTAATTTCCTTGAATCTACATTCTTATATGTAAAATGGGGATAATAGCCCCTAAAATTTTGACCCATTATGCATGTCACATTGTACTGAGCACTGAGGACTAAAACAGCAGAGGAAGATCTGTCTTCCTCCTGACTACTAAATCATCTACATGTATTTGTGCAGTTAGTTGCTGCAGAAAATAATGTGTCTGTCAGGGTAATCCTACTGGTAAATAGCAAGCCACTCCAAAACATTTAATTTGCTTATGAATCTGCACTCTGGGTGGGTTTAACAGAGGCGGCTTATTTCTATTTTGTTTCATGTCAGCTGCAAAAGAAGACAGACGAGCCAGGCTCTACCATATTTGGCAGTTTAGCCTTAGATTTCTCCAGGCATTAGTTGTCCTATACTCACTGACATACCTAGCCAACCAAGGCAGAGTTCACAAGTACCAGTTTGTCATGGAACAGTGTCATAAGAAAACACATGTAATGGGAAATAAGGCTGTGATCATTTTTGAAAAATGAAATCACAAAGATATACCATAGAGGTAGAATAAACATTTATAGTGTGTATTAGAAAAATGACCTGATGTTATTGTCACCATCACTACCCGATTTCCCTCACCAGTACCACACAGCTACCATTTTGTTGCTTCACTGGAATTCGATAACAACACTGATGCATGATTACATATTCTAGTTCATTAAAATAATACACGTTGTAGATTGGGAACCACAGGTTCATGACTTTTCTATGCACTGGCATCCAAAAGAAAATATTGTGGTTACTATTCCCATAGTCTGTTTTCTTATTAATCTTCAAGGTTAAGGAGTGGCTTTCAAATGTCTATAGCCCTGATAACTATTCTAGAGCTTTGCACACAGCAGGCACTTAATATTTTTATCTAAAAGATAATAGTAAAACTATTGTTGAACTATAATTACTAATTTGAGATTTTCTTATCAGATAGATTTTGTATCCTGCATTCATTGTTTTAAATTCAGATCACGCGATCTATCCCTAACATATATTTTCACTTTACTCCCTTTCAGTGGCTGCTTAAGGCAAAAAAATAGAAACCTTTGCTTGAATGGACTGTAGTGACAGAAATGAAATTTTTAGAAATGTTGGAACCAGAAGCTACTTCCCACACAATCCACTCATTGGGGGTGGGGCTCTGGGTAGCTCAGCAAGACAAGTACCACTCAGTTCTAAAGGCAGTTTGTGGCTTAAGGTTCTATGCCTCTCTTCCTAATCTGTTTAAAAATGAGGATAATAGCAGCACAGGGTTGTTGAGTAAAATGAAGCAACAGTCAAGAAAATGCCAAAAATGGAAGAAAAACGCTAAAAAATGTCAAATGTTGGTTGAAAGGAAATTTGGATACAAAGTACAAATGTATTTAATTTTATTAGTAATAAATAAACGAACAAAGTATATTTTCAAGATAGTTGCTGAAAAAGGGTTACTTGACAAAACATTTCAATACAGAATAACATTAAACTCTGAAGTTTTGTATTTTGCTTTAAATTTTTAAGCAAATGTTTCTATTAAAGTATTATCCAAAACTGCATTTGAAATAATTGCATTTGCAATTATTTAAGTTACAGCTTTTCAAGATCACATTCATTGTGCTGTGTAAAGCAAGATGTAGCTATAATTTATAGTCAAGGATAGAAGGAGCCTTGAACTGATAAGACATTATCTGCTGCTGTTTAGGGTAAAAGATTGACAATGAATGTATATTAAGCACTAAGGTTTTCAATAAGAAGGGCCCATTGCAAACGCCAGAGGCATGTCAGTTCAATTCAACAAATAGCGTCTCTAGTTTCCAAGGCAGAGGGTTGGGTACTGATGAGGAAGCAAAGATAAATAACTGCAGATGCCGGAGGGAAGACAAAACCTGAACTTGGTAACCAGAGTGGAGAGCTCAGTGGGCGTCTTGATGCGGGAAAGGCACAATTCAAGGAGAACCTGGTGGAGCTTAAAATAATTTAATTTTCCCTGCCTGGATTTTTTTTTTTATAAGATTCTATTTTGGATCTCTTTTCACAAGTGCCAGGTCCCTTGTTGGCAGAGAATCTGCGACCCTGTAAAATTTCTCCTGTTTCTTCAGAAATTCGATGAGTTCTTCTACCACCGACACAGCATTTCAGTGTCTATTGTGTGGGTGGTGGAACGATGGAAAGTTATTTTTGTTCTAATTATGAGAACCGTTTTACTGGGAAGGGAGGAGAAAGGGAGAGACTGATCTGAGGCTGAGATGCCTGAGGATGATCGGAGAAGGCGTTTTTAAGGTTACTACACAGAAAGGCCGGCGTTAGGCAGGCGGACTTTTTCTTCTAAAACAAAATATACTTTTAAATGATGGGTGTAGGTTGAGCTGCGGGCAGTGTTAGACGATACTACATGATGGATTACTTAGAGGAAAATGAAAGGAGCCCCAGATAAAACGTAGAGGCAGCACTTCATGAAAAGTGCCCGGTTTCTGCTCTTCTTCCGGCCCTTTTCTCCTGCCTCCCTTGTTTCCGTAGGTGTGCTGATTGTAGTACAAAAATCTACGCACCCGGGACGGTGCCTTTTAAGTGTGACACCCGGCTGAGTCGGACCGGAAGCAGCTTCCGGTCGGGAACCGAAGGGCGATAGAGGAGTGAGCGCGTCCTTAACGGCGGCGAAAGGCTGCCCGGCCCTGGCCAGCGGGTCGGCGTGTAGCGGCTCTCGCAGGCAGTCGGTGGTCGCTGCAGCTACCACAGCTCACAGGGCGAACTTGGCAGAACAGAGAGGCACCGAAGGAAAGGGGTGTGTAAGGAAGGCCGCAGGTATACGTGGTGGCGGGGAAGGAAGACTTCCTCCTGCTTGTGGATTGTGAATTGTTATCATTATTATTTTTTCCGATGACAGCTACTCGGCGTCTCCGTTTTCGAGATTTTCTGGTGCTTGTCAGTTAATTTCGTAATTTGGAGTGGAAGCTTTTTAGGCTACAAGCACTGAGCTAACAGTAGAGGACGCGGGAAGCCGCTAGAGAAACAAGAAATGGGGTGTGGGAGCGAGGGGAGGAGAGGTCCGGAGGTGATGAGGGTGCCCACAGTTAACATTTACAGGGGTTACTGTACCAGCCACTGTTGTACAACTCTGTAGATGTGGTAAGTCATTTAATTCTATGAGGCCTGTCATTTTATTAACATTATTTTATGAATGGGCAAACGGGCCCAAAGAAGATAGGACCATGGTCTAAGAAAGACAAGCGAGAAGTGCAGAGCGGTGATTTGAATTGTAGTAGACTGAGTTTAGAACATGCTCCACACTATGGTTTTTCACCAACAAGATAGTGAAGGTGTAGGACCATTTCATCTTTGAAGGTTGTAAACCAGGGTGTCTGCCATTAGCGTGTGTCCCAAATTCAGTGTAATCTAGGATCCAGGAGTTCTTCCAACGCAATTGATAACTGAGGTCTTTCAGCATTTCTAAGAATGCTACCCTTTTTTTTTTTTTTTTTGTACTGGGGATTGAACTCAGGACCTTGTACTTGCCAAGCACGTGCTTATGCTGCTGAGCTATATCTCCAGCCAAGAATGCTACTTTTAAAATGAATTGAAACAACATAAAATTGACTAAGACAAAGGATAAGATAGTTTATCTTGAATATATTTAAAAGAAAGCAAAAATCTTGACATGTTGAAAAACGTAGCAGGACAAATTTCACAAATTGATAGTGTATCATTCACAAATACTGTAATTCCCACAGGATATAGCAGACCATATTCAAGAGGGGCAATTTGGAGTAGTTAAAATTGTGGCATAAGAATCAAGTAGATCGGCTGAGCTGCTTTTGCTTTGTAAAACTTATTTACTTAATTCGTATATCGTTTATCTTTCTCATCACTAGAATTGAGCTAAAAGCTCCAAATTTTAGAATCAGAGGCATTGTTTGTAAAGTACTTAGTACAAAGTCTGGGACAGTATTGGTGATAAATGCAGTTTTGCATGTCTTAGTGATAGGGATACATTCCCAGAAGTGTGTCATTTGTTTCATCGTTGTGAAAAAGCCATTTCAGAAAGAAAAACATGGAAAGGTGACCAGAGTATACTTACATAGACTTAGATGGTACAATCTACTACATATCAAGGCTCTACAGGATAGTCTATTACTTTGTAGGCTATAAATGTGTACAACATGTACTTAACACTGTAGATAATTGTAATAAATGGTATGTGTGTACCTAAACATAGTAAAAGATATAATAAAAAATAAGCAATACGAATTTTTCAGTGCCATTATAATCTTATGTGACCAAAGATATAGATATAGATATATACATATCTATATAATTTGCCATTGACTGAAACATCTTTGTGGGATACATAACTGTACATAGTAACATTAATCTGAGTTAAATAAAAGTGAAGCATTGCTGAACCTCATGTAGTCACCTTGCAGCTTTGGGCCTGGTTTTCAGTGGAAAGGCCAAAGAATAACCTCCCTTTTTCTTCTAAAGATAATTAAAGGTGATGCATTTTCTGAAGGGTAAGTTTATTTCAAAGTAAATGAAAGTTTTAGATGGCTGGATAATCCATGAACTACCTGCCTACCATGTTCCTTTAAAACAATTGTGGCTTTTAAAGGTGTATTTCTTAAGTGTTTTGTTTCTCTAATGATTGGCAATTTAGATTCTAAACTTAGGCATTATACTCCTTTGCAGATGCATGGGCACGGAGGCTATGACTCTGATTTTAGTGACGATGAACATGGTGGAGAGTCTAGCAGAAAGAAAAAAAGGTAAGTAGCTTTATTGATCTATCTTTTGCGTCCTTTCTAGATTGTTCTATGGTATAAATAAATAATATTGAAGTTTTTGGATTCTGTTTATAGGTATGTAAAGGTAATTTCCATAGTGAAATAATTTTTGTTAACTTATATTAAATTGATTCAAAATTAGAGAATAGTTGTGGGAAAAAATAAAGTTGGTGCTGGCTAGGGATTTATTGAACGGGAAGGAGGAAAAGGGAGAGAAATTACAGATTTCAGATTTCTCTATATGATTTTTCATCGATCCGTTAAGGACTGTGTACTCGGAAATGTTATACCTCAGAAGGGGCTTGGGTGGTACTCTTGCTAGTACTTGCTTTCAAGTTGAAGTTTGTGGAGGATGAGATTGTAATGCAAGGTGGTTCTTATGTTACATGGATGAGTAAGTGAAAGGAAGAAGCTCATGGAAGGTTTTATTGAATTGGAAGGAATAACAACTGGCAGCACATAAGCCTGGGTATCATAAAGAGGCTCATCTTGGTTGAGTTGTTTTGCTTAGGGTAGAAATTTGATTTTATCCATCAAGAGTAGTTGATATTCATACTAACCAAAATTACAGAAACAGTTTTATTATTTTACAATGCGAGCGATGTCTTGGAGATGCTAACTGGACTGAACATTTTTAATATACTCTGTTTTCATGGATGACCAAAGTGCTTTATATTTTTTAGATTTTCAATCTAGAAATACTAGATTTTAATCTAGAAATACTAATTTGTAACAATAGAATATGAACAAATCCAGTTAGATATTCTGCTCTAGAGTTATGTTTATCTATATAACCAAGGCTGATCATCTGTGGTCTACATATTCTGTAATCAGCCCCTTTTCCAAAAAATTCCTTATCCTTAATTTACAAACAGAAAAGTAAAGTAACTTAATTATATTAAGATGAGGATTAAAGTGATAAATGACCAAATCAGGATTTGAGCTAGGAACTTGGGAGATATGACATCCAAACTCATGCATTTGATTCTTTATCTTCTGTGGTTTATATTTTTGTTTTATGTTTTTGTTCTTTGGTAATGGGTATTGAACCTAAGGCCTTTGCACTGAGCTACATCTCCAGCTCTTTCTGTTTCTTAGTTTGAGTCTTGCTAAGTGGCCCAGTTGAGACTTAAATTTGTAATCCTCCTGTTTTAGCTTCCCAAGTAATGGGATTAGAGGTGTGTACCACTCATGCCTGGCTCTGTCTTCTCCATTTTTTTTTAAGTACTTAAAAAATATTTATTTTTTTTTTCCTTGGAAGGTTTTATTAAGTATTTTTTTTCTTTCAAAGAGGATAAAACCAATCAAAACAAACCAGTGTAAGCGATACAGGTCTAAAAACATGAAATCAACAATAGTTTCCACAATGCCTTTTGATGTCTTCAAAATAGCTGCAGATAACTACAGAGATAGTAAAAATCAAACAGAATACAATAGAAACAATAAAAACTAGACAGGGAATGCAATAAAGGACTTCAAAACATGCTAAATAGTAAATAGAATTGCTACTATAATATATCTTGCTATCTTTGAAGCAGCTGCTCCTGCCATCAGAGTTGACATAATCAAACAAAATAAAAGACAATAAAACCCAACCCAACAAAACAATGGAAACAATATAGCACTTGCAATACAATACCATAGGGAATCAACAATGGCTACAACTCTCAGAAAAAGTTGCCCCCAGATGCCACACTGCTACCACTATCTCTTGAACCTGTGATCAGACCACTGGCCCTAGACCTGCAATGTTAGTGAAACACCAGAGCACTACAGGCATCCACTTGCATTTCACCTCCATAGCCATCATCTCAGCCTGTGTTTCTCTGGATGAGTCAGTTGCTTATGTTGCAGGGGACTTGGGGGTGGCAATGTGAGATGGTGCTTCTCATTCGCCAGCCTGCGTGCTGGAAGGAGCCAGGGCTGGCTGTTCCAGTCCAGCGGGAGTCTGCACATAGCACTGGTTTCCAGGCTGGGTTTGCTCACTGAGGTGTCCTTTGTTTTCTGTACCCCTAGTTTCTTGTGAATGGCCTGTATTCTCCATTCGATAGATACTAAATAAAATTAAAGAGATATAAAATGTCTCATTAAAGATCAGTGTGTCTTTTCTAAGTTAAGATTTCTATGAGCTGGAGATGTAGCTCAGTAGTGGAATGCTTGCTTAATTCTTTAAAACATGATCAATAATGAAAATATAAAGAATTAGGAAGCAACCTTTAAGAAAAATTAACTCTTAATAATTTTTCTTTTTAATATACCAGAAAAATTGAAGATGACTTATTGTTCCAAAAGCCATTTCAGAAAGAAAAGCATGGAAAGGTGGCCAGTAAGCAAGTTGCTGCAGAGCTGCTGGACAGGTATGATATTTCCATGTCAATCGCTTTCTTTGGTTTAAGATGTTTTATAAACTCCACGACTACGAGGTTTGATGATATGAATTCAAATATAGACATTTGAATTTGCTTAAGTTAAACTTTGTTTTTAAACAGGGAAGAAGCAAGAAATAGAAGGTTTCATCTCATAGCAATGGACGCTGTATCCTTTTTATATTTCTAGATATTTTAAAATCTGCTTTGTTATCCTAATTTATACTTCTTTGATAAAGTCTTACACATTTTCTTTTATTAATACATAGTAAAGGTTTAGAGACAAAAGTAATAAAATGTATTACTAGTATTCTATAAATAAGCTTATAGAGTCCATGAACCTGGGAAGTATTTTTTCCAACTTTTTGTCAAATTTATTTCCTTTTTTACACTAATCTTTAATCTCATCCTATCTGAATCTTGAAAAAGTTAATTTCTCTGTAAAATTTATATTTAAAATTACATGTTTGTGGACTATTCCCAGGCCTGCTTTGGTTTTAATTCTCAGGTATGACTAGAAGTGATTTATAATCTGATTCTCTGTAGAAGCCGTATCTCAACTCAAGTTTTGAATGAGACTGACTTGTGACACTGCTACTGAACTGGGCATCCATATTGCTGCTGGCAATAGTGGAAAATGAAAGAAAGGCCAAGCAAGACCTGATATATTTCTTAGTATTTATTGCTATGGTGAGAACTGCAAGGAGACAATATCAGTTTCACCCCTGGGAATACTCATCTGTTTCATTTTGTTGCATTCTAATTCTTTTAAGTTACAGAAGTACCACTGTGCCCATAATTATTCTTTTTGTTGTTGTTTGTTTTGTTTTTGTTAACTTAGTAGCTTAGCTCCCCCATGGGCTTCATATGCTCTTTGTTCCTTTAGCATTTGAACATCTACTTCCCCTTCTCTGACACCCCTAGGGACATGGGGCATGTAGTTATTACCCAATCAAGACCAAAGTCTAGGCATTTCTTTTCCAGTGTGGGGTCAGCAGTTTTTTCTGGGATGTTTGGCTGAAGTAGAAGAGTTGTCTCAAAGTTACTGGTTTTGCTAGGTTGGCCATTGGTCGTTTGATTAGGCAGAAAACAGGCTTTTTGTTGAGACTGTGTTAATCTGTACCTATTAGCATTTACAGGTTGCCAATTTCATCTCCTACTCTGAAGTCCCTGTCTGTTGGTATGCCTACTTCTTTCCAACTTTCTGAATCTTATTATATTTGTTTTACATGTAATGTCCAAGGTTATTAGTTGTGGGAGAAGTATACCTTCCACCTGCTTTTAGACATGCAAAATTATGTTGGAACACAGCTGTGCTTACTTACATGTTGCCTGTGGTTGCTTTCATGCTAAAATGATACAACTGAACAGTGGCAAGAGACTGTATCTCCTACATACTCCACACTGTTTCCTCTCTGACTCTTTACAGAAAAAGTTTTCTGACTTTGCTCTAGTAGGATAAATGACTTACCATGGTCAGTTGGTGGTGGTTCAGGAGGAGTCCAGATCTCTTCTCTTCTCTTCTCTTCTCTTCTCTTCTCTTCTCTTCTCTTCTCTTCTCTTCTCTTCTCTTCTCTTCTCTTCTCTTCTCCCCTTCCCTCCCCTCCTCTCTCCCCTCCCCTCCCCTCTCCTCCTCTCCCCTCCCCTCTCCTCTCCCCTGTCCTCCCCTCCCCTCCCCTGTCCTCTCCCCTCCCCGCCCCTCCCCTCTCTTCCCCTCCCCTCTCCTCCTCTCCCCTCCCCTCCCCTCTTCTCCTCTCCCCTCCCCTCCCCTTTCCTCCTCTCCTCTCCTCTCCCCTCTCCTCTCCCCTCTCCCCTCCCCTCTCCTCTCCCCTCCCCTCTCCTCCTCTCCTCTCCCCTCCCCTCTCCTCTCCCCTCCCCTCTCCTCTCTCCTCTTCCCCCTCTCCCCTCTCCCCTCTCCTCTCCTCTCCTCTCCTCTCCTCTCTTCTCTCTCCTCTCTTCTCTTCTTTTCCTTTTCTGCCACTCTTTCCCCCTTTCTCTCAATGTTATTCTGATTATTTGAGAAGGTTAGAATAGCAGAACAACCTGGGGCACTTTACCACTAAGCCACATTCCCATATCTTTTAAAAATGTTTTTGTTTTTCAATTTTAACAAGATCTCCCTAAGTTGCTCAGATAGGACTTTTATGGTACAGATCTAAGATTCCCCCGAGTCTTGTGTGGGCTGAGTTGGAAGAGGCAAGTCACTTGGGATAAGACTTCCCTGGGACGGTGGATTCTTGCCCTGGTTCCTCCCTTCTTTCTTTGCTTCTTAGCTGTCATGGTTAAGCATCTTTCCTTTGTAGTGCCCTTATACCATAATGTTTTTGCCCTGGAGCTAGTCAGTCATGGACTTAATTCTCTAAAACCAGTAGCCAAAATAAACCTTTCTGTTGGGATATTATATCCCAGTGATGGGAAGGTAATTAGCATGTGGCTTGAATTTGTGATCCTCTTGCCTTATCCTCCCTTCGTGCCGGGATTAGTTGTGTGCCACCACTTCCACCTCTGTATTTTTAATATAATAGTTATAGTCACAGACACAGTTATAAAAGGTGAGGTCAGCTTTGTTATGTGCATGTTCAGTTCTAGAGTTTAGCCATTAAGCTTTCTAAAACAAAACGCTCATATATCTTGTTATATTGTATTCATATAAACATGCATGGATTCTTTAAGTATTAAAAGAAACTATAAAAAGTAACATCTGATTACTTATGTTTGGTTTTTTAAAAAACAATGTTAGGATTAAATATTATAGAAGTATACCTGCTTTTAGAGGCTTTATCTTTACTGAAATAGCAAAATTATATTTTAAAATAAGAAAGATAAATCTTATTCCTAACCTTTAACTTTAGAAACCAAAATTTCTTTTCCTTCCTTTGATCATTAGAGCCAATGATGGGATAAAGTTGTTGGCTGTCCAGCAGTAGAATAAGATGCTCTTTCTCTCTTGATGGTAATGTATTATATCACAAGAGTAATAAATACATGGTTGAAGAATATTTCAAACATTACATTTCACATATGTTTGCAAAACTGTTCAGCAGAAAGTGGAATCTCTTCTGCTTTACAATTTTTACTCTTCATGACCTAATATACACTGTCCTAGATTTTTTGAATCTATAAACAAATGTAGTACACATTTGCATATCTAGAAAAGTTGATATAAACTCATACTATGGTTTTGTCTTACTCAGTAAAGTATCATAGCACCAAACAACTTCTAAACAAATAAAATCCTTAATTTCTTGCATTTCAGTATCAAAGGCATACAAAGCTTGTAAATGACTATATTTTATACTATGGTGGTAAAAAAGAAGACTTCAGGCGTTTGGGGTAAGTATCATGAAATTTACTTTGAATAGGAAGGGAAATATAGAATACCTTCAAGTTCTATGGCTGCTGTGTCTTTGGATTCTGTCACTGATCTGATACTTTGTGTTCCATTGTCCTTGTATCACAAGATAGAAAAAGCCTCAAGAGTTTCTAGTTAAGCGTTTCATCATAAATCCCATTTCTTTGGCAGTAAGCCTCAGGTAGCCTCCTCACCTCCTGAGCTGGGTAGGGCCCTGGAAATTAACAGATAATGTGAGGAATATTCACATGTGTTATTGGCAAGGATCTTTGGAACAAAGATGTTTTTAGACCTTAGAGTTTGTTACTTTTTAAAAGGGAGGGCAAAAAAACCACAAAAAAAAAACCCTCACTCTAGAATTTTATATACATAGAAGTCCTTTCTGTATTTGAGGTTCTTCTGTTTGAGCTTTTTGTCTTTTATGGCCTTCTCTATTTTTTAATTTTATGAACTGATAGGGCTTTATAAAACTTCAGTGCTCTCTCAGCTTTCCAAATTTATCTTCCCTATCAATTTAGCTGTGTACCTCAAGAATCATTTATTCCAGCTCCAAACTATTAGCGTTTTATCTCGACAGGTAATCTTCAACACTTTTCCTCCCTTGCTCAGTTTAACTAGGACACTAGTAAAATGGGGTAACTTTCCATGTTTTTAAAAATTGGATCTCAGAGTGATGTTACTCTCTTTTAGTTAGATTCTGAAACTTAAGTGCTTAGTCAACTTTTTCATCCCAGTTTTGATAACTTAGCACCTTTTATATAATTGAAGCCACTACTTAGGATGGATAGATTCTTTAATCCATTTAACTTGCTTCTGTAGTAGAACATTTTATAATTACCTTCTGAAAATATTGAAATATTTTATAAATATATGTACATATATATTCACATATAAAACTATTAATTTTATATATTTTAAAAATCTCACAGTATTGAAAGTATTAACCTCCTCAATTTGACTCATTTTGATTTTATATTAAATGGAGCTTTTTTTATTTTCCAGGGAAAATGACAAGACAGACTTAGATGTTATACGAGAAAATCATAGATTTCTATGGAATGAAGAGGATGAAATGGAGATGACTTGGTAATTTTAGCTATCAAGAGTTGTAATACATCAGATGCTTTAGTCCTGTCTCTTCTTCTTTTTTTGTATATGTCACTTATTCGAGGCATTCAGCCCATTCATAGGATGGTGTAGAATTAAAGACATAAAACCATGTTTAGCATTCTTGTTTGGTTCATCTCATAATTTTTGGCAGTTTAAAGATGTCATGGCTTGACTTAGTCTTAAAAAAAAACTATTTTTATGACATTGTATACTGTAATATGGTACTATATACTTCTTTTAAAATTTTGAAAATAATTTGGGAAAAGTTAATACTTGAAAATGATTTTCAAATCATAGATACAAAAGGTAAGAAATGAATAATTCTTCTCAGTTCTGATTTAGCCCTTTGCTTCCTTGAGAGAGCCATTATTAATAGTTAATATGTAGGGGCTGGGGATTTAGCTCAGCGGCATAAGCACCTGCCTTGCAAGCAGGCGGTCGTGAGTTCGATCCCTGGTACCGGTAAAAATGAAAAAGACCAAAAAAAAAAAAAAAAAAAAAAAAATAGTTAATATGTAGATATTTGATGTACATGTAAGTAACAGATCTTTTAAAATATTGATGTTGGGCTACCTCCTTGGCCCGTTTCTGTCCCTCTTAGACAAAAGTTTTTCTTTAGAGTTAGGGATTTAGCTCAGTGACATAAGTGCCTGCTTGGCAAATGCAAGGTCGTGAGTTCAAAATCCAGTACCAAAAAAAAAAAAAAACAGGCTTCCCCAAAACATTGATGTTTATATTATAGAAGTTATTTATCTGACATCACTTCCAAGTAGCAAACTGTGGTTGGATTTCTAAATATAATAATACTTATTTTTTTATGGATCTAGGGAGAAAAGACTTGCAAAGAAATACTATGATAAATTGTTCAAGGAATATTGCATAGCAGATCTCAGTAGATACAAAGAAAATAAGGTATGCCCACTAAATATTTATAGAAGAAAACTTTTATTCACATACAGTATTTTTATTGTTGTGACCCACATTGTCCTTTTAAAGATAGTAGTACTAGGCTAAGTTGTCCTACACCTATAAAGTATCATTTTGACCATTTAACCTGTGCAGCCATGGAATTTTAAAGGCCAAGGGTGTTTTCTATGTGAGCTAAGGCATAAAAAGTCTAAATTTGAACGTAAGTGGCTGCTGGGTCCTGTTTGCCCTGACTGAGGTCTAGAGCTCTAGATTCTTGTTTCACAGATGATGTTTGAAATTGACAGAAACTTTTAATACATTTAAGAGGCAGATGCACATGTTACCTGACTGTATTCTAATAATATTAACTTTTCAACCAGTACTAATTAGTAATGGCAGATTTCCATTTCCACTTTGTCTTATTTTAGTTAATATTAAAGTTATTTTTATCTCTAGCTCAAACTTCAGATTTTTAGCTAAGAAGATCACCTAAGAATAAACAGTCTGAGTTGGAAAGGTGAGAGGAGGGAGTGTTGCATAAATAATGTATGTTATGGGTAGTTTATATTTGTAGTATAGTAAGAAAGGCAACCTATCTTAAATTTATGTCATAGGGTTTCTTTTTCATGTAAATAGTTTAATCTCCTTAGAACCAGGGTTGGTATAATTTTCTTTGTAGGGCTTTTAATATGCATGTTGCTCCTCAGTTTCTTAGACACAATAGTAATATTCATGATTGTGTAACTGTTTACAAACTCATGCACTTGCTATCCTGAAAAGTCTCAGCTGCTTGTGCACTCTAGTAGACAGTTTTCATCGCTGTGCCAACTAGTTACCACATCTAATCCAGAAAGCACCACAATAGTTGGGAGTTACTTGAGATTACTATTTTGTAAATTAAGTGTAAAGTATTGGCTTTATAAGGGTATGGAATAGAACTTTTTCAGCCCTTCTCATTTATGGTTTGTTCTTTAATGTTTATTAAATCTGTACTGGATACTGTGGATTCATACATGGTGATTGCCCTTCAGAAAAATCTATAATTAGCTGAGGGGGAAAAAATACGTAAATAAAATTTAAATATTTGAATTTTTGCATTAAAAACACCTACTCTACTGTCATAGAGGTATATACACATAAATGAATGGATGTGGTTGTTACTATAAACCTTTACTTAAAAAAACAGGAAACAGGCCTCTGTACCACTGTTTGTTAAACTTAAAACTACAGTGTGCTAGTCTCTATTCTGAATGCTTCATTATCACTTTTAAACCTCTTCATCCAAAGAAGTAGGTACTCATATTTCTGTTTTACAGATATGAAACCAAGAAATAAAGAGATTGAGTAACTTGCCTAGTGTTATACAGCTTTAAGTGGTGGAACTAAAACAACCTACACAATCCGACTTTAAGTGTTGTACTTCTTTTCATTATAACATATTGGCTCTTTGCTGTATCATAATCTCTTTTTCTTGTCAGTACTGTCAAACAGGATATATTAGTTTTTGAAGGAGATACCTTGTGACCTGACCTTTGTAACTTTTAGGACATTTTAAAAATGGAAGAAGGCTGTTCTTAATAGCTAGATTGGTAATTATTCAAATATATTTTCAAGTATCTGTAATGCTCTAATAAGAGAAAAGTGCTATCATGATGAGAATTAAGTTTTTTTAAGGATAGTAAAGGTCATTATGATTGACAGCATGCTTAAATTTATGTATCATTTAAATTTAATGTTTTATGTTGGTTGTGGTGGTATATGCCTGTAATACCAGCACCTCAGGAGGCTGAGACAGGAAGATCACCACAATGTCAAGGCCAACCTGGGATACTGGGATAATGAGCTCAAGGCCAGCCTAAACAATATAGCAAGACTTTGTCTCAAAAAACAAAACAAAAAGTTTAAATGTACTTTGACAAGAACTTTTTCTTCTTAGTTTGGATTTAGGTGGCGAATAGAAAAAGAAGTAATTTCAGGAAAAGGTAATTCTTTATTAAAATTTTGCTTCTACATAGGATGGAGCTTATTTTGTTATAATATTGAATCAAAGACATTGGCTAAGATTATTCCTCCCATATACAACAAAGTAGCAAAGTTCAAAATACAGTACTTTAATGATTATTACCTCTAGAGTATTGCTTTTAGAACATTCAGTAGAGGGTATGTAGAAAATGTTTAAAGATTTATCCAGGAATGTGGGACTTCCTGGTAAGCCCAAAATTCCAAGAGGCTGACATGACACAAAAATATCACAAGCTCAAGTCCAGTTTGGGCAATTTAGTGACTTAGACCATAATTGTTGGGAATGTAGCTTGGTGTAAAGGAACTGAATTCAGTGTCTACTAACTGGGATGTTTAAAAATAAGAAAGAAAAGAATTCTTGATTCTTTCATTTTCTTTAGTACTTTTTAGAATAATAAATTTGCATTACTGTATTTGAGCAAAATTCATATTTTAAAAATATAATATTGCTTCAAATTTAATAGAATTTTTGTTTCAGGCTGGTTCTCATTTTAGGGAATATCTGAGATTGAGCCCATATGTTTAGTCCAATAGCAGAGACTTGTATTTGGTTGGCAGTCAGTACGTACTTTGTCTATGCATTGTTGTAATCTAGTCTTAAAGTTTTTCTGAAAACCCTGCTGCTCTACCATCTGTTCCATCAAATTAATTCTTTATAAAATAGTTACATCGTGAGTGTAATATTTTTGAATACCACATAGTGGCATTTAGGAATAATTTTAAGCTTTAAAATCTAAATTAAACTGAGAATAAAGATTACATTTTTAAATGATTAAACATTTATGGTAGCAGACATCTTCCATAAACTGGATGTTCTTTATGTCAGATGTAAAATTAGATATGCAAACTGAAGAACAAAGTTAAGCCGCTGTAGTATTTTTTTCTGTTAATAATAAAAGCTCAACCCTGAAGGCACTTTAGAGAAGGAAAAAGAACACACTTAAAGCCATTTTTAGCTTTTCTTAGGATTATGGTTTAGTTTGTGTTTTTACATATAATAATGAGAGATCCTGAAATGTCTCACAATTTTAAAATTTTGTACTTCTGTTGAATGGGATTTTCAGGCAGATGCAGAGTGGAACCTTTTCCGAAATCTGGGCATTCTCCAGATTCCTGTAACTGAACAAAGGATCCTCTGGAGGGGAAGAAGAAGGCTGCTGCCATTTCATTGACTACAACTTGTTTGTGTTTTGCAGCCAATTCCAAAGGAGTAGATTTAATGGAGTATTCATTTGTCATAAGTAAAAAGATACTGACTTAGAAATAGGCAGTTTGGATGATAATATTCTAAATACATTTTGCTAATTTCTTACATTTTATAAAAAGGCATTAACTGGCATCAGATTTGCTCCTATTGGTGCAAATAATTATGATGTAAGTTATTGGGTTTTTGTTTGTGCAAGTAGAAGTTTGATGTTGACTTTTTCTGTCAAGCTAAGTAATTATTGAATGGTTTCTTCTTTTTTCCCTTCTTGGATTATCAGTCAGTCCTTTTGTTGGAGGTTTTAATATATAGTGGACATGATGTGATGTCATGTTAATACTAGAAACAAGGCCAGAGATTTAGCTCAGTGGCACAAGCACCTGCCTGGCAAGCGCAAGGTCATGAGTTTGATCCCCAGGTGCAAAAAAAAAAGCCAATTCTGAAACAAGCAATTCTGAAATTTAAGAGTATCAAGTTTGATTATTTATTGATATTTTATCGAAGTATTCAAATTTTTGTATTCTGGTGCTCCTTTATACTAGTACTTTTAAATAAATGCCATTATGTTAATACTTAAAAATATTAATTTTAATATTACAATTAAATATTGAAAGGATTCACCTAATGTGCATGTACTTTGGAAAATACTTTCTTATTTCAGGGTTTTAGTGCATACACTCAATACTCTCACTTTCTAAAGTATAAAATTTCTTAGTAAGGAGTCACTAAAACTGTATCTAAATATAAATAGTGAATGTACCAATTAAGAATTATGACAGACTTTTTTGGTAATTTTCAGCTCTTTGCTTTGGTATTTATATACATATTTATTGAACATTCTATAATTGCTGTAATCAGTTACTTTTTAATACTATTGACTTTATATAGCCAATATTTTACATATTTTAAAAAAATTTAGAGATAATAATAGGTTATATTGATAAATACTGTCAATTATAATAGTTAATATCCCTCTCCTTCTTGCAGGTCAGTTTTTTTGTGGAAACAAATGTTGTGATACAAAAGAAGGCTTAAAGAGTTGGGAAGTTAATTTTGGTTATATTGAGCATGGTGAAAAGAGAAATGCACTTGTTAAATTAAGTAAGTTGACTTTAAAGGGCATAAGATTGATTTCTTCATTAATCCCAGCACTCAGGAGGCTGAGGCAGGAGGATTACTGCAAGGTTTAAGGCCAGGCTGGGCTACAAAGTGAGTTCAAAACCAGAGATCCTGTCTAAAAAAGAAATAAAAATAAAATAATTTTTGATTTCTTCCAACTTTATCTTTAATTTAGAATTGAAAATACATGAAACATTTAGAACTCAATATAAAAAAATGTCAGTATATCTTCCTGGTAGTGTACTTACAGCTTTCTACACTCAGAGATTTTTGAAGTTTTTATATTCTTAGCATTATAGTGTTATTTTGACAACAGAATTATAATGTTAAATGCAAACTGGTAATTGGAGAGTGAAAATTTTTTTCCATTAACTTGAGTATGTTACTAAGCTGTATACCTAAGAGTCAGAGTATTACAAAAAGCAGTGTATTATTGCCTAACTTTCTAGCCATAATGTTGGAGTATGGATAATAAATAAATCTACTCTCTTTGGAAGTCAGTAAGGACACCTTTTAGGAAATTATAACTGTTTTCAGTGTCTGTCTTAACAACTGATGGATAGTACTCCATAATGTATCAGTTTGTTTTACTATGCATGCTGTAGAATCTGTCTTTTTTAAAAAAATTTTTTGAAGAAACTGAAACAAAGCAAATCAGAAGAGAACAGTGCAAGCAACACAGCATTTCACAGCGAGACAACCAGACATCAACAGTGGCTACCGTAATGTCTCTTGTTTTCTTCGAAATAGTTGACCATACCTTCATACACAAGAATATGAAACATAGCAAAATAGTATGAATCCATAGAATCTGTCCTTTTGTCATATTTTTAAAAATTAGTCTTTACTTGTCAGCTGTTCTTATTCCTCCTGTGTAAATGGTCTTTAGTGTACTCTGGGTCCCAAGTAAATGTGGCTTTCAGAGTTTTCTACCCAGCCCTTATGGAGTCTCCAGTTTACCCCCATGACGTCAACACAGACTGGTCCTGAATTCTGCTGGAGATGCTTATTAGTGAACAATGTGGACAAATTAGAGCAGAAGACGAGACAACAATTTTCTGTCCTTTTGAGAGCTCTCAGGGCAATTCAGAAGAAATGACTGTACCCAAATTATTACTTTATATAATATTGTTACATGGTGTTAGACATCTTTAATTTGCCATACTGATGTTCACATTAAATAGACCACAGTTAAGTTGACAGCACCATTTGTTGTTTAGACAGGATTTTGCTACGTAGCTCAGGCTAGCTTTAAACTCTTTAACTAGCTTTAAACTCTTTAAACTCTTTGTAACGCAGGCTGCCCTTGAATTTGTTGAGACCTCCTGCCTCAAACCCAAGTGCTGGGATTACCAACATGCACCACTACACACCTGCCCGACAACACCGTTTTAAAAATGATGTCATATTAAAATATTTTTGATTCCTTAAGCATTCTGTCATCATTTTTATTATGTATGTAGTATACATGACCTTTTTTGTTGTTTTTTGAGACAGTCTTACTCTATAGTTCAGACTGCCTTTGAACTTGCTGTGATAGTTTTTTCCTTGTAGTAAGGAAACACATAGAAAATAAAGATTTATGATATTAGAAGTACAGTTGCAACATAGGTATTTAAATTCAGCAATTTAGTGGTATCTTTTTTTTTCTTTTTAGGGTTATGCCAAGAATGTTCCTTTAAATTAAATTTTCACCACAGGTAAGAATATCTTTATTCATTTATTTTTAAATATCATTTTTTCCTCCTCCTTTTTTTGTCTTCTTTTAATGTTAAGAGTAACAACATTGCAACTGGATGTGTGGGTTTACATCTATAACCCCAGCCCTCAGAAGACTAAGGCAGGATTGTATTAAATTCAGTGCCAACCTGGGCTATACAGGGAACCCAAGGGATGCCTGAGCCACATATTGATACCCTGTCTCAAAAGAAAAAGCAAAAAGCATCATTGTTACTCCATGAATAATTTATTATCCAGCTCTTTTTTACTCTTAACAGAAGTTTGCCTAAACTCCACAATTAAGAAATCAAGTGGAATCAACCAACAATTATCCTAATGTAGATAAAAATAAAAACTGTGAATCTGTCCTCAGGAGTCATTATTCATAAGGATAAATTGGGATCAGAATCTAGTTGGATTCAGCTAGGAGCACTTTGTCTCCTATGGTGAAAGTTTAGGACTTTTTTTTTTTTTTTTTTTTTATTTTTTGAGGCAGGATCTCACTGTGTAGCCCAGGCTGGCCTCCAACTCATGGCGATCCACCGTCTCAAGGACGTTTCTTCAGTGGATCTTTTAATCATGTACTTTACTCTTTCTATACTTTAAAACAAAAAAGTTTCTTTGATTATTCTAAATATTTCCTCTTTTATTGAAATTCTTGTTTTGAAGTTTTGTTTTGTTTGAGACAAGGTCTCATAATATAGTTCAGGGTGGCCTTAAACTCACTTTGTAGCCCAGGCTGGCCTGAGCTCATGGTGATACCCCTGCCTCAGCCTCTCAAATGCTGGGACCACAGGCTTGCACCACAATGCCTGACCTTACTTATTTTTTAAAGAGAATAAAACCAAGCAAAGCAACAAAACGAAACAAAGCAAAATAATGAAAACACTCTTGGATTTCAAAAACAAGACTGTGGGAAATCAGTAATAATTACTGTTTTGCACATTGTTATCCTACAGATAGATGCTCAGACTGCTAGGTACAGGCATGTAGTTAAACAGTATAAGCCCTAAGTTGTTTCTTTACTTCAGTTGCTATTATTTCAGAAATTTCAGGTGTGTGGCTTCTAACTTCTGTTTCTGTCTCCTGGACTTGTTCTGGGTGAGGTATAGCCGTGCAGAATTAAGCCATATAAGTACTAAGTATTTCTTTACTTCAGTTGCTATCATTGCAGAAATTTCAGATGGTGACTTCCAATTTCTTTTGTGTCTTGTGCCTGTTGAATTTGTTTGGGGTAGGGCTCACCGTGGGGTGTGGTTTTTTTCTCCTTGCCTGCAGCAAGGGGCCTGGTTTTCTTATTTTTGCTGGATTCCTGGATTATTTCTCTCCATGGCTTTCAGGTCTCATTTTAGATCTTTCCCGGTTCCAGGGGACCCATTACCCTCCTTTTTTCCTCCTTCATGTTGCTATATTCCTGTGTCTGCACACCAAATCTTGGAGAGGCTCTTTCTCTGCTGTTCATCACTCCACCATCTTCCCAAAAGTCTAAAATACCATTGTTTATTAATGTTGGGGATAGTCATTTACCTACACTAAGTTTCTTAATGTAGACAGGTAGTTGTTGCTTGAATTGTTGATTGTATAGAAAAGTAAGCATTATTGTGTGACTACATAAAAGAGGGAAATGGGAATTTACCATGCTGTGTTCTAGAAGAGCAATTTTATTTTAATATTTTTTAAAAACTATCAGTACGTGTTAGCAATATACAGTGATAACGTTCATCAAATGGAATTTGTACCTGTACGTTATCGACCTTAATTTTTTTTCTCCTTCCCTTCCCCTCCCTTTAAACCCTTTCTCTCTTCATGTACAAAGCTTTATGAACTCATAATCATTAATCTTCCTTTGTAACTGATGATCTCACTCTGCTAGCTAATCAAAAGTACTGCCAGTCTATAGTGGGTCACCTTTGTACCTCCTTTGTGCATATATAAAAGCCCAGGCCTTCAGAAATCAGGGTATGATATTCTGGGAATGATCCTGATTAGTATCTTTTGACACAAATATATCTGCTTCCAAATTGTGGGTGTTGTTTTGGGTTTCTGCTTGCCATTGCAGTTGTACCAGTCTACACTCCCACCAACAATAGAGCGGAGTTCCTTTTTCCCTGTAGCCCTGCCATTGTTTGTTATTGGTTATTTCTTGATAATAGCCATGCTTTCTGGAGTGAGATGGCGTGTCAGTGTTGTTTTAATTTGCATCTCTTGAATGACCAGTAATGTTGAATATTTTTTCATATATTTATTTGCCATTTGTACTTCTTTATCTGAGAAGAGTCTATCCATTTCAGATACCTATTTCTGAATCATGTCTTTAAATTTGAGGGGTCTGATTTCTTTGAGATTTTATTTATTTATTTATTTTTGGCTCACTGTCACTGTACAGTTCAGGCTGGTCTTGAGCTTACTTTATAGGGTAGGCTGGTCTCGAACTTATAACGATCCTTCTGCCTCAGCCTCCTGAGTGCTGATATTACAGTCATGTGCCACCACGCCTGGCTTTTTGAGTTCTTTATATAATCTAGATAGTAGCTCTTTACCTGAGAAACAACTGGAAATTTTTTTTTCCCACACTGTGAGTTGTCTCTTCATTCTCTTGGGGGTTTTCTTATGCAAAAGTTTTTAATACGTTTAAATCCCAGTTGTTGATTCTTTGTGATATTTCCTGTATCATTGAGGTTTTGTTCATTAAATCTTTGCCTACACCAGTATCTTCAAGAGTTGTACCTATTCTATCTTTCAGTAGATTTAGTGTTTCTGTTTGAATATGTAGATCTTTGGTTCATTTGAGTTTTAGTTCAGTGCGCAGTGAGAGATATGTAACTAGTTTTAGTCTTTGTTACATGGAAAGCACCAATTTTTTAAAGAGGCCATCCTTATCCCAGCAAAAGTATTCGGCTCCTTTGCCAAACATAAGGTGGCTGAGTGTGTTTGGAATTGTTTCTGCATCTTGTAGTCTGTATCCTTGATCCTCAGGTCTGTTTTTTTGTTTGTTTGGTTGGGTTTTTTTGACAGTACCATGCCAGTTTCATTACAGGAGCTTTGTAGTATAATTTCAAGTTAAGGATGGTGTTGCCTTGTGCAATTTTAAATGCAAAGGCCTATGATGGTAGATATATGTTAGAATTTTTAGTTTGGAGCCAACATGGTAATATTCTTAGAAACTATGTTGTAAAGTAGGCTTCAAAGTGATTCTTGTGACTCATTTAAATGGTATTTTTATCTAGAGTTTATCACTGTTGCAGAAACTGATTCTCATTTCAAATGTTAAAATTAGGCTCATGTTGAATGAACTCTGCTATATCTGCCATTTTGAGTGGGTGAGAGTACCATGGCCTTTATCTTATAACACATATGCAGTAATTGGTTTGAAATTAGACGAGTATTCTTCTTACCTCCATTTAGAAGGCTGCTTGTTGGGCAAGCCGCTTAACCTCTCTAAGACCCAGTTTTATCATCTGTAAAGCTAGGGATACTAAAGGAGTAGTGGAGAGGAAATTAAAGTATGTAAAGTACTTGGCATATGATAAATTTTAATCCCTTGGCATTACTAATAATTAGACAGAATTTGTATGACTTGCCATTATTATTCTTGTCAAGTTTCCCAAGTAACAATTGGTAGTCTAACAGTGAGATTGTATGTGTTGATAAACATTTTAAAATCAGTTTTGGGCATGATGATGCATGCCTGCTAGTCCATTCAAGAGGACTGTGAAAATCAAGGTAATTTGGGCAACTTAGCAAGACCCTATCTCAGAAGATTTAAGAAGGGGCTTGGAGTGTAACTGAGTGGTACAGTGCAGGTAACTAGTTAAGTAGATAGGTAGGCAGGTAGGTAGGTAGATAGACAGATTGATTGATCTTAAAATTAGCAGAATTTTTTCAGATTACTTGAATAGCTTAAACCTTCATTTTTCTTTTTTATCAGTGACACTAAAAGAAACTAGAAATTTCTTTGACCTTAATATTGAGCCTTATTTCCAAATTGAAATGACTTTGATGCAAGAGAAAAAAATGGTTATTGTTGCAAATATATTAAAACATTTGGTATAGTTATCTTGAATTAGAAGTTCTGTCAATTTTTTTTAACTAAACCTATCATCTTTTTATCCTCATGAGTCCCAGTATCATCATTTCCTAAAGTCAGTTGCTTACCAACCATGATACTGACTGGCTTATGACACTGGCCAAGAAGAGATGAAACTACAGCAGTCAGAGGATAAATTATAGGGAGTCTGAAATTGGCTTAAGGGGTTACCAAACACCTTTCATCTTCATTCCTTTATACTTTGATTGTGTTCCTGTATTTTAGGAGTTTCCTATATACTAGTGGTTTAGTGGTTTCTTACTGTTTATGTTTTTTTCCCCTGTGTATATGAATATGAATTATGTGATGAGAAATGAAATTTGTTAATTTTTTTTAAATGGCTAAATGATAGAACATAGAAAAGATTAATTAAAGCTGATTTATATTTACTAGAGGCATATTTGGAACTTGTAAAAATTCTTTCTTTTATAGTTTAGGCTTTATTATATTCCAAAATTGTCTTAATATATTAACTTAAAATATTTACAGTCATTTACGGTCCCTTATAATGTAAGTTACATTTTTTAAAAAATGCTTTAACTGATACACTTTGTTCCCTAGTTTTTATTTTTTGTAAGGTCAGTTGAAAAGATTAACCTTAATTTCATATTGCTTAATGTAAAGGAGAAAAGAAATCAAGTCTGGCAAAAGAAAGGCCAAAACCAAAAAAGGCTGTGAAGAGTCATCACATAGAAAATCCAGATTGTCTCCTGAAGAAACTTCCAAGAAGAAAGATAAAGGTAAAGAATATTAAGATACAGTATCTACTTATATTTCTGAATATAAATTATAATCTGCCATGTCTCATGTGAAGAATTCAATTGCTGAATGCATTTAGGATTTTGTTTTAGATGTGGTTGAGAATTTAGATATGAATCTATAAGGGATTTGCAGGAGTTTTAATAACAGGGTTGGTGTTGGTTCATTTTTGGCAGATAGCATATTGTATAATATTATGAACAGTGTTATATTTCCTAGCTTTACCTAAGACTTGTTACCCTAGACAAAGCACTATGTATTTTGGAGTAATATGAATACTTGGCCTTTGTGCCAGTCTAGCATATTTTGGAGAATCAAATAATGAGAAAGGTGATGCTTGTAGGCTGGGAAGAGAACTAAGAAATCAGCCCACCCTTCTTGTGAGCCAGCTGGCACACAGGCTGGGAGACAAGAGTCCTTACCCCCACCGCCACCCCCGCCTTGTAGGCAACTAGCTGATTTGGAGAAACACAGGCTAGGATGATAACAACTAGGGTACAAAAACAACTTAATGCTTGTATTAATTGATGGACTTTGCAGGCCTAAAGCTAGTAGTCTGAGCATCTGTTTAGAGGATAATGCAATATTGCATGTGGAGGATTTCCTTCTGTCTTGTTTTTGAAATCCAATATTGTTCTGTTTTGTTTTGTTGTGTTTTACTGTTTTATTTCCTTCAAAATAAAAAAATAAAGTAAAATTTAAAAAAAGAATGTGAAAGGCACTTTGAATACTAAAAGTTTTATGGCCATAAGAAAGTATAAAATTACAGTGCTACGATTTGCATTAAAATGATCTGTGTGGATTTTTTTTCCATTAGTTTATAAGTTTTTTGAATAAGACACTGATGTAAAGCTGAGTCCTTAGAACTTAGCATGTTTTTGCACATGTATACTTAGTTAATAATTATCAAATTCAAATCTGCCAGTCAGCTGCTTACTTTTTGCCTAGCAATCTTTGGTCTCTCTAAACCTCATTTTCTTTTTTCATGTAATGTTTAAAAACATTTGTGATATATAATGAATACATTCATTGTGAGCAATTGGTTCATATCCTTTGTGTAAAGTCAATTTAAGTTTATGATTTGTGATCTTTTTAATGATTTCTTGTATTTTGTTTGCCAATATCTGGGATATTTTTGCATCTGGGTTCATTAAAGAGATTAGCCTTTTATTTTTCTTTCCTTGTCTAGTTTTGGAATCAGGATAATGCTAGCTTCCAGGAATAAGTTTGATACTATGCTTTCCCTTTCAGTTTTATTGACGAATTTGAGGAGGGTTGGTACCAGGTCTTCCCTGAAGTTCTGCTAGAATTCAGTGGTGAATCCAGTTTGTGGGCTTTTTCTTGTTAATTTTATTACTGTTTCCATTTTGTTGCCTCTTAACTCAGTTTATTCATTGGATTTAGAGTTCTTAGAGCATCTTGGTTTACTTTTGGTAATTCATATATATCTAGGAATTTTTGCATTTCTTCTAAGTTACCCAATTTATTGAGTATAATTTTCAAAGTAGTTTTTTTTATGACCCTCTGGATTTTGGTATGATTTCCATTTTTTTAAAAATTACTAATTGAATTGATAGGATTTTTTTCTTTCTTCTTTAATATGTCTATCTAAAGATTTATAACTGTTACTCATCCTTTTAAAGAACTAACTCTTTTGATTCATTGATCTTTGTATTGTTTTTTAAGTCTCCATTTCATTAGTTTCTACTCTGAGCTTTGTTTTTCCTTCTGTTAATTTCAGATTTGAATTCGCTTATTATTCTAGGAAGGTGATGGTGAACCCTTTGAGATGAGAGATGAGTGCCACAAACTGCTTCCCCAAATCCACTTGTTTATCACAAAGTGTGAACACTGCAATTAAATCTGAATTCTGAGATTTTAGTTTAGAAAAACCAACTCATGTTAACATCTTTCATCTTAAAAGAAAAACACAGTAACACATACCATAGCTTTGCCACTGCTGCCCTAGGATCTTTTTTTTTCCCCCTGTCTTTTGAGGCAGAGCTTCACTATGCAGTTCAGGGTGGCCTTGAACTCACTTTGTAGCCTAGGCTGACCTCGAACTTGTAGTGATCTTCTCTGTATCAGCCCACCTGAGTGCTAGAATGAAAGATGTGTGCCACCACACCTGGCTTGACCTAGGACCTTGAGATGCATTATTAGGTTATTTATTTGGCGTTGCTCGATTCTTTTAATGTGTGCATTCACAGCTATACACATCCCTTTTAGAACTGCTTTCATTGTATCCTGTAGGTTTTGGCATGTGTGCTTCCTTGGTCAATTTGATTCTAGAAACTTTTTTATTTCTTCCCTGACTTCTGTGATCCATTGATTATTCAGTAATATATTATCTATTGTCACTTTGTTCAGTGGTATGGTTTAGCTCTAATATTTGTTAATTTTTGTCTGGTTGATCTAATTGTGAAAGTGGGGTGTTGGAGTCCCCTGCTATGATTGTACTGATGTCTGCCTTTGTTTTTTTTTTTGAGACAAGGGCTCACTATGTAGTTCAGGCTGGCCTGGCCTTATATTCACGATGTAGCTGAGGCTGGCCTTAAACTCTTGGAAATAGACCACCACAACTGATGTATCTGTCCTTTTATGTCCAGTAGTTTGGGTTGTGCAAACATTTAGTGCATAGATATTTATAATTGTTACCTCTTCCTGTTAAACTGTTATCTTTACCAGAATGTAGTGCCCATTTTTATCTCTTCTGACCAGTTTCTGCTTGAAATCTGGTGTGTCTAAAAATAAGATAGCTATTTCAGCTTACTTTCAGGCTTCATTTGCATAGAGTATAATTTTCTATTCTTTCACCTTTAGTGTATAAGCTTCCTTTTAGATGAGGCATGTCTCCTGTATGCAACATATGGTTGCAATTTTTTTTGATCCACTCAGCCAGTCTGTCTTTTGATTGGGGAGTTAAGGTTATTGGCATTGGGTGTTATTACTGTAAGGTGTGTACTGCATTATTTTTCCAGTGCTGATTCCTTTGATAATTTTCTTTTGTTTACTTTCCCATTGACATGTACTTAACTTTCTTTTGAGCTCTTGGATGTTGGTCTGGGGTTCCTTGAGTATTTTCTGCAGTGCTGATTTAGTGGTCATGTATTTCATTAGAATTTATTTTTCATGCAAAGTCTTTACTTCCGCATCAAATTTGAAGGCCAGTTTTGCAGGATATGGAAGTCTGCATTGGCAGTTGTTTTGTGGCTTGAAAACTTTTGTTCTAAATTGGCCTTTAAGTTTGTGCTTTTATTTCTTAGAGGCTTGCCTTTACAAGTTACTTGCTTGTTTTCTTAATAGCTTTTAATGTTGTCTCCTTTTGTTGAATTTTTGGAATTTTGATTATGATATACTTGGAGAAGTATTTTTTCTGTTCATGGCTATTTGGAGTTGTGTATGCCTCTTATATTTGAATATTAAATTCTTGTTTTAGGAATTGGTTGCTATGATTTCAATAAAATTTTTACACTTTTTGATTGTCTTCTGGTTTTTCTTTTATTTCTATAGTTCTGATTTTTTTTTTTTTTTTTGAGTCACCTAACATTTGGATCCAGCTTGAATAGTGTTTTGTCAGTTTTTGTGTATCACTGAATTTTGGATACAATCACCCACCTTGTCTTCAGCTTCTGACACCGTGACCTCATATTGGTTGAATCTAAACGTGCTTTGTATTGAGTTTTTTGTTTCTTATATTTCTACTTGCTTTCTTTTTGTAATTTTTATAACTAGTTGTTCTTGTTTCATATTGTCTTAACTGAATTAGTTTGTTCTTTAAGTTTGTCAGTTTATTAGTAAAATCATTTACCTGTTTAATAAAACCTCTTAAAACTTATGAAACATCTTATGAAATTGCTGAACTGTTTTTTCTTTGAGCTCTTCAAATATGGGGACTAATTGGTTTTTTATTTCTCTGTCTGTAACTTCCTCCACTTCAGGATTTAGGAGGTTAGCTTTTGAGGGGCTGAGGAGTTTTCAGCAGTATCTCATTATCCTTGATTTCTCATGTTTCTATTGTTTTTGTACTAAAGGTTAAAGATCAATTAGAAATACCGTGTCTATAATTATCTCTTTAGCTAGAGTTTGTCTTTCTGTGATGTATTCTCCTGTTCAGTTATGTTTTGGCGTTCATACCCCTCTTCAACGTACACAAGTATAATCTCTGAGGGTCTGTTAGTGGCCAGCCTTCTGGAGGCTTGGTCACAAGCCCCGCCCAGAAAGGAGAAAAGGAACCACAGTAATGATGATGATACAGAGACTGACTGAATGTTAGCATACAGCAAAACAGTTAACAGCAGCAACTATGCCACCATAGTTCATATTTCTATGCAATAGCAAAGAACTCTTAAGGTATAGACATACCATAAGAACCAATAAAAGCTACAATAGGAAAGAGACCTGCAGCAATATGGACACAAAGACAAATCAGTGTTGTAGTATATGTGCTGCCAAAGTGAGCACAACAAATCTATACTATCACTAGAAAAGAATTCAACAGCTCTTAGTCAACTAAATATCAAAAAAATTTAATAATTCTTAGTCATAATAATAATAATGAAAGGAACAGAAAACGGGAAAAATGAAAGAAGTAAAATTTTAAAAAGAAAAGAAAGATGAGGAAGAAAGAAAAGTGAGATAAGCAATTCAACTAAAGAGGAGTTCATAGAATTAGGTAAAAGTAATAAAGAAAAAAATAAAATAAAGAGCAAAAGAAAGAAGAAAAAAAGAAAAGAAAAGCCCCAAATCAAACAAAAAAAGTGAATGCAGTGTGTGTTTGGATGAATGGTTTCTTTCCAAGACCTGTAATAGTGGAATCCACTGGTTATAAGGGAAGGATAGTGGATCACAGCTAAGGTGTGTGTGTGTGTGTGTGTGTGTGTGTGTGTGTGTGTGTGTGTGTACTAAATCCTGTCCCAACTTTCCTGCTGATAGGATGTCTTCCTTAGGGCTCTTACTGTTTGCTCTCTATTACAGCAAC